TTTTTTTTTTTTTTTTTTTTTTTTTTTTTTTTTTTTTTTAATAAATCAACCTTCAAGTTTTGGTTCATTCTGCAGTTTATTACGACAGATTTTTTTTAAGTGAAATTGGCAAAACCTTTTACATCAGTTTCTACTCTTTTCACCCAAATCTGAACACATATTTCTTTATATTTCCTCAAAATGCCCAGAAAAATGTTAAAAACTCGCCAACAGTTACATTGTCAGCTATTGCTGCAGAGCAGGCCATAATCCTCTCTGCAACTACCATTTCAGTCGCAGCAGGACAAAAAAAAGTGCCGAAACCTCATCATGTGTGATATAAAGTATTCCAGTTGAGCTGAGACACAAACACAAACGTGGAATAGCTTTACTTCTTTTTATATATATATAAAACTCTTATTTTGCTCTAACCCTCCTCCACCTCCCTCTTTTCCTTCCTCTTACCGCCCCTCCTCTGTTTGATCCATGGATCTTCTCCTGACGTCTGTTATTCCGGATTTTTCCAAGACTAGTCGACATATTGTGACTTATGATAATCCTGCAGACAGGAAACAAGAAGACACAGGCGACGGATTTAGGAACAGTTCTAGGGACTGTAAGGCACAACTTTTACTCACGCGTGTGCAATTTAACATTCATCTGTTCTATTGCATAGATTTAATCCAAAATCATGTCAAAAATCCACTGTTTACAGACATTTCCTAATCTGTTTTTTTATGTCAGAGATTTTGACATTTTATTAGAATTTGTTAGTTTTGCTTCTTTACACATTTAGTCCAACACAATATGTTAAATCCTTATGTGAATATAAGCAATCATGGTATAAAGAAGAAAGTTGATGATTAAACAATAGTTCAGATGTTTTTCAGTGAGATTTTGTGTAAAGGTTATAAAAAAATATCTTACCTGTTGCTGATATATTTTTTTTTTGAATTACCTCAGTTTGGAGAAATTGATTGTTTGGCATTAAAGATTTGAGTCAAAGATTTGTTAGTAAAATATTTTTCTTATGAACCAGAAGGATGAAACTCAGAAAGCAACTGTCTGCCTGCCTGTCTGCCTGGAGGCCTACAAAGCACTGATATTGCATCAAATTTGAAAACGAACATTTTCAAATCAGGTTACGGTTTTTCCTTCCAAAAACATTTTTGACCTTTTAGATCAAATATATACAGTAAACACTACTAGCTTTTTCTTTTATTGTCATGTGTTTATACAGTATATACCGTATATATCAGGTCTCTCTTGTAAATGAGTCCTCGAGGCTCAATGGGATTTACTTGTGTAAATAAAAGTTGAATGAATATACCACTTTATTTATAAAGCACTTAAAACAGCAACAAGGCCAACCACAGTGCTGTGTGTGTGTGTGTGTGTGTGTGTGTGTGTGTGTGTGTGTGTGTGTGTGTGTGTGTGTGTGTGTGTGTGTGTGTGTGTGTGTGTGTGTGTGTGTGTGTGTGTGTGTGTGTGTGTGTGTGTGTGTGTGTGTGTG